CCACATCGCTTTGCGACATGCAAACTTTGTGTTGCCTTCAGCCCCTTCGTGCCCAGCCACATCGTCTTACGACGTGCAAGCTTTATGCCTTCGGCACCCCTGTGCCTAGCCACATATTGTGTCATCTTCGACAGCTTCGGCAAACCTCTCTGATATGAGCAATGCCCACGCACATCCTCACCGCAAGATAAGATTTCTCTTCTTACATATAAATATTGCATACGAGCATGTAATATTTAAGTAATTCATTGCACAATCCTATTCAACAACATGGTTCATGAATATTGCATATGAATCAAGGCTGTTCGGGCCACTTTGAAGATGCTCTAATTTGGCAAGTGCCAAATATTCCAAGTCACCGACAACATCACTTTGCAGGGCTAAGGAGGCCAACCACCATTTCAATCCAATGAGAAGCCCACGTGACAACTAGCTGAACGTCTGGGGCAATTTAGATGGCCGAGCCATACGGCACCCAGCCACTAAACTTATCAAAACACCCAAGGAACACATCAAGTTTAGCACATTGGCAAGGCCCATGAAAGCAATTTAAGGGCGACTTGCAAAAAAGTCTTACCAAAATAAAGGAGCCCACCTGCTACAGCAGCTCCACGCTTGCCGACGGTGCCCTCATGACCCAGCTTCAATGGCCTGGCCCCAGCAAACTTATCAATGGCCCGGCTACTTTAAAAATGTTTAGCAACGGGGAAGGCCCAGCTTTGATTCCCAATCTGCCGAACAGCCAGACCTCATTAATCTAGTAGCCCAGCCCCTTAGATGAAGGTCAAGCCCAAGCTCACACCAAGGGCCTAGCTCCCTAAATTCAAGACCCCTAAAGCTTGAGCCCACAATGGGCCTAAAAGGATCACGGTCCCTAAATTCAAGACCCCTAAAGCTCTGCGACACGCAAGTTGTGTTATCTTCGACACCCTCGTGCTTAGGCCCATCGCCTTGCGACATACAACTTTGCGCCTTCGACAACCCCTTCACCTTCGGCACCCTCGTGCCAAGTTCTCTCCCTTCCAAATGTCCTTATCCGGAGACTTGGGGGGCTACAGATAGTGCACTATACGGCTTGGAAGATGAACCATGGTATTGCTCGCGAACAGCCAAGCTTCAATTGTCCAACCCCCTGCCCAGCTGAAGGTCTGGAGCAATTTAAATGGCCAAGCCATACGGCATCCAAACTTGCTGGAGCTAACACATCATCACAATCCCAACTCACCTTGCCGAATGGCAGAGGCTGGAAAAATTGAGAAGAGAGCATGAAAACCTTCGGAGGGCCTAAGCTCCAAAATTTCAGCCCCTATGCTCCTAGCTCTAATGCTCCCAGCCCACCCAAAGCTCCAACTCGAATCTCCACTACGAAGGGTCCTAACTGCAGGTCCAACTCCAAACTTCCCTCCTTGCCAAAGCCAAGTTTGGAGGTGGCCTCAAAATATTCCCAATCAACCCCTACCGTTCGGCAAGGGTTGAGCAAAAGTTAATAGGGGACTACCTCCTTGCAGCCGTAACCCAATTCCCAGCTCCAAATGATACCCACCGAAGGTCTAGCTGAAAACAAGACCCGGCTTACCCTTGCTTCCTAGCCCTTTTGCCAAACCCAACTGCGGTTCCTAGCGAAAAGATACAACAGGCAGCAACAACCCAGGTTGCAGATGGCCCAGCTCCCAAGACCCAGCCATGCTGAGGGCCTAGCTCTCAGACCCAAGACAATTTTCACCACGACTGCAGAAAATCCGAAGCACCCTTGCCGAACGGCAAGGAGCGTGCAAATGTATTTGGGGGCCTCAAAACAATACTTTGTTGCCAAAAGCCTAGCCCAAAGCTTGCTGGACGTGGACACTCGATTCGCCGCCCGGCTACGGAGATTGCCAAAAGCTCATGTCCTTGTCGATTCTCTAAGGCCCAGCTCACAGGATTCAGCTTTTACCCAGCCTCAAATGCTTGCCGAATGGCCTAGCCACCAAGTCCCAGCTTCATGTCACGCACGGAATGGCCTAGCCCAAGGGGTCCACAATATCCTTTCTTGCCAAAATACCCAGACCCAAGAACAACAGCAAAATGGAGCTCACGACAAACTCATTCATACCGAAGGCCCAGCTACACGGCCCCACGTCCTCCTCACCCGAGGTCTAGCTCCAGAACCTGCCAAAAATACAACAAGGATAAAAAAAAACAAACAAACAAACAAACAAACAAACAACTACTTTCGATCCACCCTTGCCGAACGGCAAGGGTTATGCAGCAATGAAAATGGTGGCCTTCAAAAATAGACTCACCTTCTCGTTGCCGACGGTGCCCTCATGATCCAGCTTCAATGGCCTGGCCCCAGCAAAGTTATCAATGGCCCGGCTACTTTAAAAACGTTTAGCAACGGGGAAGGCCCAGCTTTGATTCCCAATCTGCCGAACAGCCAGACCTCATTAATCTAGTAGCCCAGCCCCTTGGATGAAGGCCAAGCCCAAGAGCTCAGCTATCGAACGTGACCCAAGCTACACACCCGTGCACAAAGAGGTCCCGGCTCGCTCAATCAACCAGCCTTGCCGACTCTCCAAGGTCCAGCTCAATATCACTCACCTCCAGCTCTTAACAACCTGCACCCAGCTCACAAAAGTGAATACCACAAACAAAATTTTTGAACTCACCCTTGCCGAACGGCAAGGGCTGAGCAAAGAGAAAAAATGGCCTCCAAAAATCTGATCAAGGCTTGCCGAACAGCCCCAATGGCAAGGAGACCCCAGCTCCAAGTCTTCACGGCTTGCCAAAACAGGACCTAGCTACGCGAACTCAAAAACAAAGGACCACTGCGAAACGGAGCTCACGGAATCCCGGTTCCAGGCCACGATATCAACCTGCCAAAGACCTAACAGAAACCATCTTGAGTATGCTCCAGATATATGGGAAGCTCACAACACAATAAAATCCTCAACCC